ACAATCTCTTTGATATCTCAAGCAAGTAAAGTTTTGCTAAAGGTAATACAGAAATGGCTACAATCATACATTGACAGAGAACTTCCAGAGGTTCAAGCTGCATAGGAGAGGCCATGCTAATTGGGTGTTTGCACAGCATTTCTTCAAAACGAATTCCACCGAAAAGGCCTTTGATGGGGCAGACAAAACTGGTTATGGGAAGGGATGCATGCACGGTTCTTCAGGACCCTGGTTCAAACCCCTCCTAGGAACTTGTGGTGTCTCCTCTACTCCAGTCGGTTTGTCCTTTGAAGTTATGGCAAGGGTAAACCAGTCCAATCTACAAAATATCTCACAAGGAAGTCAACATTTTATGGGTGGTCTTCCTTAATAGATGTCCATTACAATATGGAATTTTTATGAGTGGTCTTCTTTAATGACATGTCCCAGGATGTGGCTATTCAGACATGTGCCTTAGACATGTTCTGAACACCTTTACAATTATCCAAGCAAGTAGGGGTGCAGGTCTCGACATTCCTCAAGACTTCGGCCACAAGATTTCAGTCAGTAAGTGACCCATGTTTAGTCCTGATATCTAGACTCCCTCTCCCCACCATCTCAGGAAGGCACTGGGAGGTGCACAAGAGTTAAGGGCAGCAAACTTAAAACTATTTTATGCATTAATTTGCAATAACAGTAAAAACAAGGAGCTCTGGTAGCGTAGTGGTTACAAGTTGGGCTGTCAACCGCAAGGTGAGCAGTTCAAAACTACCAATGGTTCTGTGGGAGAAAGATGAGGCATTCTGCTCCCATAAAGATTTACAGCCTCGGAAACCCTGTACAGGGTTGCTATGAGTCGGAACCAACTCCACGGCACATAACAACAACAACTAGTGGATATACAGTAGATACTTACATTGAATAGGTGTGGGAAGGCAAATGAGACTACACCTATGAATATATATAGGTTTGACAAAGGATACTTTTACATATGTACTAATATGTCCTGCAAATACATCCATGAATATAGTAGTGCATACAGGGGACAAATTTATGATGGCTTCTTCAATTATTGGTTTTATATCATCCAAATTTCAAGTGCTCAGAAAATGTTAGCTATGATCACAACTAAACACACACTCACACCCAGAGACAGCAAAAGTGTAAATGATTTACAAACTGGTTTTAAGTTTATTTCATATTTTATCAGAATAAATCCCTTAAAATTTCCTGAATGTTAGAATATCAAAATGTTTCCAAAAGTTAATCTCCATAATAATTAAAGTATTTCCCATGGATGAAAGTAACAGTGCAGCAGGTAAATGGGGCAAAGGGGTAGGAAGTGGGATTGGGGGTTTATTTAGAGGTAAGCAGATCAAATAATATTTAGAAAATGCAATCCTGGTTGGTTTTTTCCCCATAAAAACCCAAGTGGTAAAAACCCAAATTAAGGTAAACCTTAATTTGCATTCCATTTCCAGGTTCAGCCTGTCCATTTGGTCTCATTAGCCTGCCCTTGCAAGCAGATGAATTGGGTTTTGCAATGCAAAATAATCAAGGTCACCTCAAAGGTGAGACCCTCTCATCTACTCATGCCTGATGCCCTGATGCCCACCACACTGTAAGTCAAACCTCTTGTTTATCTTGCTGGGATCTAAATTTACTCTGAAAGCCATATAAATAATCAACTTCTTATGAAGGGTGTATGTTTGCAGACATTATACAAATGCAAGATGCCTACAATGTGTCTTTCATGAAGGAAGAAATGAGACCCTCTGGCAAGGTCTGATAAAAAGAGGAATCATCAGCCACCAGATTCTTTCCAAGCCCAAAGTTCATTCTCATTTTACTGCAAAATGCTGAGAAACAAATAATCACCAGTTCCAGTGACCGGGTCTAGGAAACAATTGATCCTGGGTCATTGTGGAAGATGCCCTTTCCATTCTGTGCACACAGGCTCCTCAGCTGCCTCAACAAGAGTGGAGTTGGGGTGTGTATGCTTGTTTAGAGTCTTTACATTTTATATTTTCTTCATCAGAATATTTTCTCTTCACTGTGAAAACTGTGTCAGCAATATGAACAAAAGTTCTTCCTCTGAGTCAATATTTAGGAAGTGAATATCTATTGAATGGCTCAACACCCCATCACAGACCAAAAAAAGGGCAAGAGATACAGACAAAGGGTGCTGGGCTGGGAAAGGCTTTAGGGATGGTCGAATACAACGTCCTCATCACAGTAATTTTCACAGGATTTTGCTATTGCTGCAGTTTCGGTTTATTTGTATACTGATTTGGTACCAGGCATTTTACATGGCTTGTTTCTTTTAAATTCACTCACACACACACACACACACACACACACACACACACACACAGGCCTACCTATAGGAGACTGATTTTCTAGGAAATGAAGGCTTAATGAGATGAAGTAGCCTGTAGCTTGCTCAAACACAAAAATGTGCTCGACCCCTTCCAGGGTTGATTTGAGGACTGAACAACCCCAGAGCAGTCTTTCCTGGAACAGGATGCCAAGGGCAGCCTTTATAGCCTTCATCCACATAAGAAACAAAACTACCATACTCTCATTCTAGTACATTCAAGATGGTCTTCTTATTTTTCAGATATGAAAATGGAGACACAGAGCTACAATTTAATAAACCAAGGTCACAAGAGTACCCAGTAGGACAGTCAGGACAAAACATAGCACTCCCTGTTTCCAGTTGGTTTCTCTGGAATGACACATGTTAGCCAGGACCATTTCTAGCATCTCAGTCGTTGTTAAGTGCTGTCGAATCAGTTCCGACTCATAGAAACCCTTTATGGGGTTTCCAAGCAGTGCTAGTGGGTTTGAGCTGCTGATCCTGATCCACACGGACTCCAACATTTCAGTGAATTGGATGCGTTCCCTTCCTTTGAAAGGGCTCACTCTGTTTCACGAGGTCACATTCTTCCACACCTCTCCTACATTTCTGACAGTTCCACATGTCATTTCCTTTTGCTCCAGTGTCTTCTCTTGCCCAGCCCTAAGTGCTGATGATCCCTGGAGTTCCTCATCCTCAGTCTTCTTTGCTTTTCACTCTTCATGCTAAAATCTGTTACCAAAGTTTAGTTATCACTGACAAATCCTGCCCACATGGCTACCATTGGCTTGAACTTTCTTCTAAGCTCCAGATCCTGGTATGCAATATCTTTTGAATGTTGCCAAAGCACCTAAATGGACTGCAATGAATATCAAACATGTCCCTGGGTGGTACAAGCAGTTAACATGCTTGGCAAATAACTAAAAGATCAGAAGTTTGAGTCAAACATAAATGCCTAGGAAGACAGGTAACCTATTCCTGGGAGTTAAGGGGAAGGGCAGTCATTGAAAATCCTACGGAGCACAGTTCTACGGTGGCGCGCATGGTAAGACACAAGTTGGGGTTGACTCTGTGGCAAATATCAAATTCATCATCATTTCCAGTCCACACTTCCCTCCTCCCACATCTCTCCTATACATTCTCCCTGAAGTTTACATCCACCATTGTGCAGTCCACAAGTACTGTCTACTTTGAGCTCCTAGTTGTGTTCCTTACTTTCCACTGCTTCTGTTATTATGTAAATCTCATCATTTGTCCTAAACAGAGGCTACAGTAACTCATTGCTCCACTTCCAATCAGCCTCCAGAGTAATAGTTCTAAATAGAAACCAATTATATTACTTCCCTGCTTACAATCATTCACTGATATTAATCCATTATTGGAAGGAGGCTTGGTGTAGTGTTGTGAGTTAATGCACTAGACTGCAAGATTGGTGATTCAAGCTCACCAGCTGCTCCTTGGAAACCCTATACAGGGTCACTATGTGTTAGAATAGATTCGACGGCACTTAACAACAACAATATCCATTACTGAAGGAGTCTTGGTACGGCGCTGTAGGATAAAGCAAGGTCTGTTTGAACTGCATGGTCAGTGGTTCAAACCCACTAGCCACTCATCAGAAACCTTATATAGGGTCACTACGAGTTGGAACCAACTTGACAGAACTTAACAACTAGAAGGGTGGGTGGGGTTTCCGTAAAATACATTCCATTCTATGGCCCGCAAGGCCCTCCACAATCAAACAAATCCCTCATTAACATTCTAGCCTCAGTCCCCTGCTCCCACCTCACAACTTCACATTCTAAAATTCCCAAACTACTCGTGGTTCCCCAAACATAGCAAGCTATTTTATGTGTCATATCTTTGCCTATGCTGGATCCTCCTACAGAAATATTTCCCGTCTATCTTTCACGCCATCCTGGAGAATTCCTAATCAGCTTCTGAAACATGCCATTGCTTCCAGCCACTCAGCCTCCTCTGTATTCCTTCTCTCCTGATGTAGCTATTTTACCTAGTGCATCTGCTTTCCTCAGGCACCTAGTGCTCTGTTTCCCAAACTGCATGGTAATTATCTGTTTATATGTTTGTCTGGTCTCCTTGACAAGGAGTGCCGAAAGGTTTAAAACACACATACACACCCTCTAGATGATACATCAAGTCAGATGGTGCTTACACTCAATTCAGATATTCTATACACCCTCAGATTTTACATGTGTACTCATGTTTTATAAAACTACTTAGAAGTAATGCAGGTTCACTTACATGCTACACGTATGATCTACATCCTGTATGTGCTAATGTAAAAGTTACAATGTGCATGTTCAGGTGATACCTATGCCCCTTAAGATGTTATGGGTGCTCGTGGAGAACCAACATGCTCATTTAGATGTGAATCAGCTCACTTGGTGTTAGATGGATGTGTTAGCTATACTTGAAGCAATGGTTCTCTGAAAGTGGTCCTTAGAGCAGCACCGCCAGCATCACCTAGAAACACATTAGAAATGCAGATTCTTGAAGCCCAACCCAGGTCTTTTTCATTAGAAACTCCTGAAATCCAGGTTCCACAAGTGCAGCTAGTGCTTACTCAGCATTTGAGCCCCATCACCTTCGATGGTACATGTCCTCATTCAGATGTTCTACCTGCCTGTTCAAGATCACATCCGTACTCGTACAGGGGATAAACATGTTCATTAAAATGTTACACATGTTTACTCGCTGAAAAACCTGTGTACTTAGACAGTAAACAGCTCAGGTGCTGCCCACTGACACTGACACTGAGAAAGAGCATGTGCTTGTTCCGATGTTACACCTGAGATACCGCAATCCCTCATGAGATACTACACATGCACAGTGAGGTGATGCCTGGGCTCACTGCGTGATCAAAAATGTTTGCTGAAATCTTATCTTGTACATGTTCAGCTGCTCACTCTCAGTCTTTCACACTCATGTGCTTATTTAGTCGTTGCACATCTTGTTCAGGTACCATCGTATTGGTTCTAACCCATACGACCCTGTATAGGGTTTCCAAGGAGCGGTTGATGAGCTTGAACTGCCGACCTTGCGGTTCAAACCGACTTTGCAATCCAGGGCATTAACTCACAGTGTCAAAACAGGACTAAAAAAAAAAAAAAAAAAGAAAACAAAGTTTACACAAAGGACAGGACAGACTTTCAAGCTCTGGTGATGGTGGTGGTGTGGCGTGCAGTTGGTTCCAACTCCTATGACCCTGCATAGGGTTTTTGAAACTATAAATTTTAATGAAAGCAGAAACTGTCGTCTTTTTACCCCAGAACAGGCAGTAGTTTCGAACAGCTGATCTTGAGAATAGCAGCCTGACTCGTAACTACTACGCTACCAGAGCTCCTTCCACAACACATAGAGATGTTTGCTAGGCCCACTCTGAAGTTCAAGTTAAATGGGCTAATCCATATCACCATCATTTAGATGTTCATAGGATCCCTGAGTTCCACCCTCACTCCTTCACATACTGTTTCCCATAGCCAGTGTACATTGCTAACCAAGCCATGCTGAAGACAAAGGGCAGCTACGCTGCTGGCCACTTCGCATTGTGATTCTGATAGTTTTCTCCAGAAAAGTTCCTCTTTGCTTGGTCTTCCACAGCGCCTGAATAGTGTTGGAGTAGCACACCCTTCCCAGAATGTGCTGACCCACACCTGCCTCACTTTGTTTTTGTTATGTTTTGCTTTGTTGTTTAATCTTTAGGACAGCCCACACATGCTGTTGCTTACACAGAATTTGCTACATTTTGCCACACTTGAATGACCTCATCTTCTTGCAGAAATTTGTTCCAGCAAACTGTAAACATGTTGCTGTACTTGACTGTGTTTTTAACCACATCTTTTGTCATCTTTGGCAACCCACAAGCATAGGTCTACAAGGCACCCCATGTTCATTCATTCCAGAAAAACTCTTAATTGGTTCTTCTTCATAATTCTACAATTGCCTTGGCCACAATCAATAAAAGATGCTTGCACAGCAATACTGGGTCAACATTCAAAGCAAAGAGTATCGATTGAGCACTTATTATAAACTCAATTTCCTTCAGTGGCCCAGATACATTTCTCCGCTTGTCCCAAGAGTTTCCTCACTTAGTTTGAAGAGAGTGGGCTCAGTGGGTGAATTCAGACTGATACTAATTTGAACCTTGGCTTCACCATTTACTGATCATGAGAGTTTGCAAATATCATTTAA